ATAGTGTTCATGGGGTTCTCAAGGCAAGAAGATTGAAGAGGTTTGCCATTCCCTTCTCCAGTGGACCATGTTTTGTGTGATCACTCACCTAGAGCCAGAAATCCTGGAGTTCAAAGTCAAGTGGGCCTTAGAAAGCATTACTGCAAACAAAGCTAGTGGAGGTGATGAAATCCCAGCTGAGCTATGTCAAGACCTAAATGGTGATGTTGTTAAAGTGCTGCACTCAATATGCCAGCAAATTTGGAAAACTCAGCAGTGGCCATGGACTGGAAAAGGTCAGCTTTCATTCCAATCCCAAAGAAAGGCAATGCCAAAGAATGTTCAAAAATACTGCACAATTGCACTCATCTCACATGCTAGCAAAGTAATGCTCAAAATTCTCCAAGCCAGGCTTCAACATTACATGAACCAAGAACTTCCAGATGTTCAAGCTGGATTTTAAAAAGGCAGCGGAACAAGAGATCAAATTACCAATATCCATTGGATTATAGAAAAAGCAAAAGAGTTCCAGAAAAACATCTAGTGTTTGACTAAACCAAAGCCTTTGACTGTATGGGTCACAACAAACTGTGGAAAATTCTTAAAGAGATAGGACTACCAAACCACCTTACCTGCCTCCTGAGAAATCTGTATGCAGGTCAAAAAGCAACAGTTAGAACTGAACATGGAACAATGAACTGGTTCCAAACTGGGAAAAGAGTGCATCAAGGCTGTATATTGTCACCCTGCTTATTTAACTTATATGCAGAGTACATCATGGGAAATGCCAGGCTGGATGAAGCATAGGCTGGAATCAAGACTGCCGGGAGAAATATCGATAACCTCAGCTATTCAGATGACACCACCCTTATGCCAGAAAGTGAAGAGGAACTGAAAAGCCTCTTGATGAATAAAAGAGGAGAGTGAGAAAGCTGGCTTAAAGCTCAACATTCAGAAAACTAAGATCATGGCATCTGGTCCCACCACTTCATGGCAGATAGATGGGGAAAGAATGGAAACAGTGACAGGCTTTATTTTGGGGGGCTCCAAAATCACTGTAGATGGTGACTGCATGAAATTAAAAGATGCTTACTCCTTGGAAGAAAAGTTATGACCAACCTAGACAGCATATTAAAAAGCAAAGATATCACTTTGTTATCAAAGGTCCGTCTAGTCAAAGCTGTGGTTTTTCTAGTAGTCATGTATGGATGTGAGAGTTGGACTATAAAGAAAGGTGAGCACTAAAGAATTGATGCTTTCAAACTGTGGTGTTGGAGAAGACTCTTGAGTGTCCCTTGGACTGCAAGGAGATCAAACCAGTCAACCCTAAAGTAAATCAGTCCTGAATATTCATTGGAAGGACGGATGCTGAAGCTGAAGCTCTAATACTTTGGCCACCTGATGTGAAGAACTGACTCATTAGAAAAGATGCTAATGGTAGGACGGATTGAAGGCAGGAGGAGAAGGGGACAACAGAGGATGAGATGGTTAGATGCCATAACTGATTTGATGGACATGAGTTTGAGCAAGCTCCTGGAATTGGTGATGGACAGGGAAGCCTGGAATGCTGCAGTCCATGGGGACACGACTGAGCAATTGAACTGAAGTCAACCAAATTTTACCTAGGAGAAAATCTCGACTCTTCCTACAGCTCGAGAGCCCAAAGCACAGGCTGGCTGAGCAGGGCCAGACCCTGGGCGTTGCATCCACTATGCACAGACTCCCTCCAGTCTGGGGCAGCTTCTTAGAAAAGCTTCCCACGCATAAGCACAGAAGGACAGGCCGGTGCCCCCTGGCCCTGACCTTCGGCCGTGACTCGGTGGGCCAGGAAGCCGGAGCCTCGGTCCCCAGCAGACTCGGGTGACTCGGCGGGCCAGGGAGCCGGAGCCTCGGTCCCCAGCAGACTCGGGTGACTCGGCGGGCCAGGGAGCCGGAGCCTCGGTCCCCAGCAGACTCGGGTGACTCGGCGGGCCAGGGAGCCGGAGCCTCGGTCCCCAGCAGACTCGGGCGGGCGAGCTCACACACTCCCAGGTCAGTCCTCCCAGGCGATGGCCCCTGCCCTTCCCTTGCGGCTGTCGGTCACCAACCCCAACGCTCTCTCCTTCCCCTCTCCCCGTGCCTTCCTCTTGCCCCTGGTCCCACATGTGTGCGCACCGTGAGGCCCGGGCCACTGCCAGCCACTTAGCGACCACGTCCCCAGCACCTGAGGGTGTCTGGAACATGTGGGATTCTAGAAAACGTCGCTGAACGGTGAGTGAAGGAATCCATGTGCTTCGGCGTGTTGTTTGCGATCAGAAGACTTTCCGCGAGTGGCGGGTCTGCCTTCCAGACTCACTCCTTCCTGAGGCTCGGGGCCCCGCGCACTTCCACACGCAGTGAGCAGCTTGTGTGCCAAGCCGAGAGTCTCGGCCCGCGGGCCCTGGAGTGTAGGCATGTGCCTTCTGAGGCCGTGGGCCGTTCGGCCGTGCCAGTCCCCTGGTGCCCTGGGTTGACCACATCACGTGTGTCTCCCCAGCCCACCCTGCCGGGCCGGCTGTCGCCACGTCACTGGTCTGCGGCTGGTGACTGGGCTCCTATGGGCACTGTGGCAGCCGGAGGCCATTGGGCCCAGGAATCTGGGTTCCTCTTACTTGAATCACCATAATTGCACTTTTCTGGGAAGCTTGGAATCTGGTGTCTAACAAAATGCATGCTATTTATTGAAGGTAAATGTTGAAACTTGCCATTTCACAATAAAGTAAAAGTTGGATATAGTCTCAGTAGCCATTAAGAGAACCACAGATTTTTTTTTTCATAGAAGTATTTTTTAAGTCATGCTTTGGCAAACAATGTAGTAGCTATTTCTGGGTTTTGAGCTTTTCTTGAGCAAGAACTCTGGGCTTAAAATCTTGAAGCATACTTCCATTTAAAAACTAAGATAATTCACAGAACACTGAGAAGATGAACACTCCATAACTGCTGACAAAGCTCCTTGAGTGTGGGGTTTGGGGCACGTGAAGAGGGGCTCGGGGAAGGGAGATGGGAGTCAGTGGACCCCCAGCATTGCTTGGGGCCCCCCTGATGGTCAGAGGGTTTCTGTGAGCCTGAGCGGTCTTTCTCCTTCACAGCTGAGAAACCGGATGCTTTAACCAAAGCCACGCAGCTCGGAGATGCCACACCTAAAACTTGGGCCCCAAACCTCTGCCTCTTATTGCGAACAATGTCTGCCTTTTACAAAATGACTTTCGTTCATGCATGCAAGTGATTTTTGAAGTAAAAGATTATGAAAAATATAGCCTGAGCCTCAGGCTCAAAGTCAGGAACCCCAGAACCCTCACAGACTTGCTTTCTGATAGTATGTGGCTACTCACCACCTTCTTTTCATCTGTAGAAAAGGGTAGTTCCTCCCTCCCCGGCCAGCACATTGGTTGTCAGAATAAACTGAGAAAATGTGTTATCAAAATGTCCAGGTTTTCTTTTTACGATTGAACCTGTTTCACGTGTTGTTTTTCCATCTAGAATATATTTTGATGACAATTTCTCTTTCTTCACTTTATTGCTGAGCGCGCTGAGTGAGGTGTGGAGAGACGGGGGACGCGAGAGTCTCAGGAGCCATGAAGCACCCGCCCCCACTGCCCGAGGACACGTAGGCCTGGTGTCTGACTCTCCACACACTTGGAGACACACTGGACCCTCCTTTGCCCGGATTGAACTCAAGGTCCTGTGGACTCTGCCCTCCAGCACGTGCTCTTAAAGTGGAGATTCAATCAGGAAGACCCTGCCACCTCGGAGACGACACCCGCTTGGTGATGCCCAAGTCTCGGAAGGTCCTTGCGTCCCCACCCGTAGTTTTATCAAGCGCCCATGGCAGCAGGCTTGCTCCCCACCCCGCTCAGAAGATCAGCTCTGTCTCCCATCACAACCACGCTCGCTCGCCCCCAGCTCCCATCCTGGACTGGAGCAGAGTGTCTCCGCTCTTCCCGCCTCCTGCTCGGCAGCGCCCTGCAGACCCCCTTCCTTCACACGGCCATCTTCTCCTGTATGCACGAATGTTCCCTGTGAGCAGGTGGGCTACGCTGACCACCCGCTTCTCCCCTCCCCCAGGTCCCCTCATGGACCCCCCCACAGCCGGTCCTCTCTCAGGGAGCCCGCATACCCATCTTTAGTGAGAGGGTCCCTGCGCTGACCTCGGTTTGGGGGCCTTACTGTGGGGGCGTCCGGGGCCAGCTGACGTCGGCTTCTGCCCCCTCCCCGGGTCTCCTCGAGGAGATGCTGGGAAGATGCTGCCGAGCAGGGAACGCTACCAGGGGCTGGCGGGAACCACCGAGCTGATCTCAGTTGTTCCCACTTTCACTCTGCTTCGCCAAAGGTTTTGAGCTCTTAAACAAAACCCCTGTTTCCTTAGGGACAGGCAGGGTCCTGTCCTAAGAACACAAAGGCAGTCAGTCCCATCAGAGGTTCAGGCTGGAATGCGGCCTGAGGGAAGAAGAGAGGAAAAAACGGGCCTTTGATGTGGATGTTTCCATGGCGGCTCAGACTATAAAGCATCTGCCTGCAATACAGGAGACCCAGGTTCAATTCCTGGGTTGGGACGATCCCCTGGAGGAGAGCACGTCAACCCACTCCAGTACTCTTGCCTGGGGATTTCCATGGACAGAGGAGCCTGGCAGGCTACAGTCCACGGGGTCACAAAGAGCCGGACACGACTGAGTGACTAACACTTTCACTTTGATGTGGACACGTGGACATTTGTGGCATCTGTTTTGTGCCTGAAATCAACTCCTATTCCCTTCGTCTGGCAGCTAATCTTCCTCTACCAGTGATACAAGGTCTCTTCCAGGACCTGGAAAACACTTTTCAGAAGATTTTGTGTGATCCAGGAGATCCCAGTGTGTAACATGAAATAACTCTTTTGAACTCAAAATGGTGAGTGAGCCTTTCAGAAGACTCTTCTCAGCTGGGGAGGTCAGAGTCCAGCCTCTTGGAGGAAAGTGGTAGGAACGAGGCTTGGACCCCAGACGACACTGGCAGCCCCCACTCACGTCTCTGGGCTTCTGCGTCCACTCCGAGCTCCTTGGTGGTGAACCAGCTCCTTCTGGAAAGAATGGTGTAAATACACAGGCTCATGTTGTCCTGCAGACGGAGCCTCGTGGCTGGTGCTGCCTCCCTTTGCAGGAGCATCTGCACATCCACGCACGCAACCCAAAGCTGGATCCCCTTGTTCCTGAGCCCCACCCACCCCCTGACCCCCAGCCCGAGCTGCAGCCGGTGGGTCAGCCAGGCCTCTCCAACCCTTCCACCCTCAAGCTCCAACCGCCTCCCGAACACCTCCTTACACCCTCTCCTCTCAGCCCACGGGGTGAGCAGCCCCGTCGTGGGGCGACTGGGGGTTTGGGGCTGGCGGACAAACGCGCCAGACTCCTTTCTTTCAGAGGGGTCTTCTGATTCCTCAGATGGGCCTGAAGACCCTTGAGCTCAAATTGCTCCCTGAGAGGTGGCCTCTTAGTGGTGGACACACTACTCCCCTCGGCCGCTCCCCAGCTCCTGGAGTCCCAAGAGAAGGGACCTGACCCCAAGCTCACGGCCGTGCTCCCCTTTGCGGGCAGCAAGCTGAGATGAAGTCAATTACAAAGTCTCCTTGGTTCCTGGAGAATCAACACAGAAACTAAGCTCATGATCACAAAAGCTGAAACCTTCTGACGCTGATTGCATCGCATCATGACCGTCCAGCCTCCAGGAACAGAGCCATCTGGCCGCCCACACAGGCCAGAGGACACCTGTCCTGCCCAGGCCACTGGGGTCTCCCTCTCGGCCACCCCTCTGTCTGGGCCCCAAGGCTAACAGTCCCTTCTCTGCTTGCACGGTCTGCTTTCAGCAAATCAACCTGCAGGGGACATGCTTAGGCTTTAAAGCTGCATTCCTTTGGAAGGTTACACCCAGGACATTTCTATTAGGATTTGGGTGTTTCCTAAACTTGTCAGCACCTCCTTCAAGGTTAAGGCTCGGGAAGGCTCCCCGCTCTGTGAGGACGGCCTCGCCCAGCCCAGGCCAGACCATCCGGATTGAATTTTCCAAGGGTCCCGCCTTCTACTCAGAGGCAAGGAACAAAGCGGCCGTGGGAAACTACCTGGAGCCCTGCTGCGTCTTCTCCAGGCTTCCTCCACCCGGTCTAATTCCTGCTGAAGTTCCAAGGGATGTTCCTGCCGGAGAGGTCACATTAGCAAAGGTTGATGCCAAGTCCCCGCTCAGCACAGCCCCTGGAAGGCCCGCCTGAGCATGTCCACGTGTCCTCACATGTCCTCACGTGCCGTAGGGACCCCGGAACTCAGGAGTCTCCTCCAGACACTCCGAGCTTATTGCCAATTCTTTTAGGAGTTTTATCCAGAGATAATTTAAATTTGAGTCAAAGACAAATAACCATAGGTGGTGGAGATAAAGCTGACGGCTCAACCTGTGCTGGTGACTTGACTCAGGCCTGGAGGGAAAGGGGCCAGAAAGAAAGAGCAAGACCCCAGAGAGGGCAGAGGGCAAGGGCGCTTCACGTCAGCTCTTCTGCACGCTTCTCTTAAGCCTTGGCTCACACAAAGCGAAGCATCAGGGCTCTTAGTCTGACCAGTCCATTAACGGAGCATGTGCTACAGTCATGATCACATAGTCCCATTCTCACAATTAGGGGAAATTCATGCCACGTGACGTTAACCATGCTCAAGTGTACATTGCAGCAGCATTTAGTGCATTCACAGTGATGTGACATGATCACCTGTATTTCATTTCAGAACATTTTTATCTCCATGAAAGAAACCCTGACCATCACCAATCTGCTTTATGTCTCTACGGATTTACCCATTCTGGATATTCCAAATAAACGGAATCGTGTAGTATGCACCCTTTGTGTCTGGCTTATTTCATTCAGCATAATATTATTTGGGTCCATTCCAAGTGGCACTGGTGGTAAAGAAGCCACCTGCCAATGCAGGAGATGTAAGAGACTTGGGTTTGATCCCTGGGTGGGGAAGATCCCATGGAGAAGAACAAGGCAACCCATTCCAGTACTCTTGCATGGAGAATCCCATGGACAGAGGAACCTGGTGAGCTACAGTTCATGGGGTCGCAAAGAGTCAGACATGACTGAAGTGAATTAGCACACATGTATGCATGCTGTAGCAGGTATCGGAGCATCAGTTTTAAGGCTGAACAACATTCCACAGTTTGGACTCCATCCATCTGTGATGCATGTTCGGGCGTTTCCAGGTTCTGACTGATGTGGATAGTGTTGCTAAGAACATGTGTGACACACACTTGTGTGAGTTCCTATTTTCAGCCCTCTGGGGTTTATACCCAGGAGTGGAATTGTTGGGTCATATGATGTCTCTGTTTCACTTTTTGAGGGACAGCCAAACTGCTGTCCAGAGCAGATGATTCATTTTTTATCCCCTGCAGCAAAGTGCTCCAGTTCCATCATTGGTCCCATCTTTACCAACACTTCTCTTGTTCTTAAATTATTATTTTAGTGGGTATGAAGTGAACCTCATCGTGGTTTCTCTAGTGGTTAATGAGAAAAAGTTGATGACCATTTGTATGTCTTTAGAGAAATACCTACTCAAAACTGTTGCCCATTTTTCTAGTTTTTTTTTTTTTTTGGCTTTTGTTTGGGGGTTGTAAGAGTTCTTATCTATTCTGGACACCAGATCCTCATGAGATTTATAATTTCTAAATATTTTCTCCCGTTCAGTAGTTTGTCTTTTTACTTTCCCAGGAATGTTCTCTGATACATTCTTTTTAATTTGATTGATTGATTGAGTGCCCAATTTATCTTTTTTTTCCCCCTTAATGCTCATGGTTTTGGTGTCATGCTTAAGAGTCCATTCCTAAATCCAAGATCATGAAGATTTATCCATGTTTTGTCTGAGAGTTTTATAGTTTTAGTTCTTATATTTAGGTCACTGACTTAATTTAATTTTTCTGACCTAAGTTAATTTTTCTATGTGGAGTGAAACAGGAGTCAACGTTATTCTTTGGCACATGAACATCCACTTGTTGAAGATGCTGTTCCTTCCTTACTCAACAATCCTGGGACCCTTGTTGAAAACCAGTCCACCATGAACGTCTGGGTTTACTTCTGGACTTGGCTCCAGTGTGTTGGCCTATGTGTTCGCCCTTACGTCTTCACCACACTGTTGAACACTGTGCCTTTGCTGTAGAATTGGGAATCAGGAACTGTGAGCCCTGCAATGCTGTCCTTTTCCTTAAGTCTTGTGTTGGCAATTATTCAGAACTCTTGCAATCCCATATGAAGTTGAGGGTCATCTTTTCCATTTCTGCTAAAAGTTATTGGAATTTTGATAGGGATTGAACTGAATCTATAGTTTGCATTGTGTAGTATCATAGTTCTAACAATGTTAAATCCTCCGATCTATAAATACAAGCTGTCTTACCATTTATTTAGGCTTTTCTTATTTTTTTTCACAATGTTTTCCACTTTTATTATGTAAGTATTTTACCTTTTGGCTTAATTTACTTCTAGGCATTTTGTTTCAAATTCTATTGCAAGTGAAATTGTTTTCTTAATTTTATTTTCATATCATATCTTGCTGTTGGATAGAAACACACAGTGATTTTGAGTGTTGGTCATGCACGCTTCAGCTTCTCTGAACTTGCCTTTTTCTCCGTTGAGGTGTAACTGACACATGACATACTTCAAGATGAAGGTGTGCAACCGTATTTCTTTAAATCCCCCAAAATACGTCATTAGAAAAGAAAGAGCTTGGAGATTAGAAAGAGAAATTATGAATAAAATATCATGGCATTCCAGAAACAGATTTTAGAGTTTTCTATTATATCCTTTATTAAACAGCATGCAACAGCCCTAGAGAATCAGCAGCTATGTGACTATGTTTTAAGAAACTGCTAGGATGGACCGTGTTGGTAGTCTCTTTGTCCAGCTATTTAGGACTGAGCTTTGATTGATCTGGGGTTGCCAGTCCTATTCTGGAACTGACTCATCTCACCACACGTGGTGAAGCTTATTGTTGCTGTTTAGTCACTAAGGTCTGTCTGACTTTTTGCGACCCATGGACTGTAGCCCGCCAGGTTCCTCTCTCCATAGAATTTCCCAGGCAAGAATACTGGAGTGGGTTGCCATTTGCTTCTCCAGACCTTCCTGATCCGGGGATTGACCCCATATCTCCTGCTTGGCAGGTGGATTCTTTACCACTGAGCTGCCTGGGAAACCTACTCCTCCCCAAACATAGCAAGAAACTCCGAAATCTACTAGAGCCCTCCTGATGCCAATCTAATTCACGCTTCCCAGCAACTGAAATCTTCAGCTGAAGTGCCGTTGAGTCTTGTGTACAAGATGGAAGTTTCTAAAGAAATGAGTCCTGATGGAGATGGAGAAACTGTGCCTTCATGAGGTATGTGTATGTGTGCATGCACAAGCATATAATGCAAAATACACATGATTAAGGATCTTATATCATATATTCATGAAGCATGTCTATGTGAGTACACATGAGCATATAATGCTAAATCTATATAATTCAGTTCAGTTCAGTTCAGTCGCTCAGTCGTGTCTGACCCTATAGACTACAGCATGCCAGGCCTCCCTACCCACTCACCAACTCCCGGAGTTTACTCAAACTCATGTCCATTGAGTCAGTGATGCCATCCAACCTTCTCATCCTCTGTCGTCCCCTTCTCCTCCTGCCTTCAATCTTTCCCAGCATCAGGGTCTTTTCTAATGAGTCAGTTCTTTGCATCAGGTGGCCAAAGTATTGGAGCTTCACCTTCAGTATCAGTCTTTCCAATGAATATTCAGGACTGATTTCCTTTAGGATGGACTGGTTGGATCTCCTTGCTGTCCAAGGGACTCTCAAGAGTCTTCTCCAACACCACAGTTCAAAAGCATCAGTTCTTTGGTGCTCAGCTTTCTTTATATGTGAGTCAAACTCTCACATCCATACATGACTACTGGAAAAGCCATGGCTTTGACTAGACAGACCTTTGTTGGGAAAGTAATGTCTCTGCTTTTTAATATGCTGTCTAGGTTGGTCATAACTTTTCTTCCAAGGAGTAAGCATCTTTTAATTTCATGGCTGCAGTCACTATCTACTATGATTTTAGAGCCCCCAAAAATAAAGTCTGCCACTGTTTCCACTGTTTCCCCATCTATTTGCCATGAAGTGATGGGACCAGATGCCATGATCTTAGTTTTCTGAATGTTGAGTTTTAACCCAACTTTTTCACTCTCCCCTTTCACTTTCATCAAGATGCTCTTTAGTTCTTCACTTTCTGGCATAAGGGTGGTGTCATCTGCATATCTGAGGTTACCGATATTTCTCCCAGCAATCGTGATTCCAGCTTATGCTTCATCCAGCCCAGCGTTTCTCATGATGTACTCTGCATATAAGTTAAATAAGCAGAGTGACAATATACAGCCTTGACACACTCCTTTCCCTATTTGGAACCAGTCTGTTGTTCCATGTCCAGTTCTAACTGTTGCTTCCTGACCTGCATACAGATTTCTCAAGAGCCAGGTCAGGTGATATTCCCACTTCTTGAAGACTTTTCCAGAGTTTATTGTGGTCCACACAGTCAAAGGTTTTGGCATAATCAATTAAGCAGAAATAGATGTTTTTCTGGAACTCTCTTGCTTTTTTGATGATCCAAAAGATGTTGGCAATTTGATCTCTGGTTCCTCTGCCTTTTCTAAATCCAGCTTGAACATCTGGAAGTTCATGGTTCACGTACTGTTGAAGCCTGGCTTGGAGAATTTTGAACATTACTTTACTAGCGTGAGATGAGTGCAATTGTGTGGTAGTTTGAGCATTCTTTGGCATTGCCTTTCTTTGGGGTTGGAATGAAAACTGACCTTTTCCAGTCCTGTGGCCACTGCTGAATTTTCCAGATGTGCTGGCATATTGAGTGCAGCACTTTCACAGCATCATCTTTCAGGATTTGAAATAGCTCAACTGGAATTCCATCACCTCCACTAGCTTTGCTCATAGTGATGCTTCCTAAGGCCCATTTGACTTCACACTCCAGGATGTCTGGCTCTAGGTTGGTGATCATACCATCATGATTATCTGGGTCGTGAAGATCTTTTTTGTATAGTTCTGTGTATTCTTGCCACCTCTTCTGAATATCTTCTGCTTCTGTTAGGTACATACCATTTCTGTCCTTTATTGTGCCCATCTTTTCATGAAATGTAATTGGTATCTCTAATTCTTGACGAGATCTCTAGATTTCCCATTCTGTTGTTTTCCTCTATTTCTTTGCATTGATCGCTGAGGAAGGCTTTCTTATCTCTCCTTGCTATTCTTTGGAACTCTGCATTCAAATGGGTATATCTTTCCTTTTCTCCTTTGCCTTTCACGAAATATTTGATTAAGTATCTTATATCATATATTCATGAGGCATGTGTATGTGTGTACACACGAGCATATGATACTAAATATATATGGTTATTTTATGCTAAGTTTATGTGGATATATATTGTATATACATAAATGTCTTATTTACCAATTGTATTATATCTCTTAAACCCCATAAGAAAAACCATTCTTTTTTTTTTACACTAAACTACAACTGATTTATAAAAAAGCTGAGTGCCGAAGAATTGATGTTTTTGAACTGTGATGTTGGAGAAGACTCTTGAGAGTCCCTTGGACTGCAAGGAGACCCAACCAGTCCATCCTAAAGGATATCAGTCCTGAATATTCATTGGAAGGACTGATGCTGAAGCTGAAAATAAATCCACTGTACATCAAAACACATTTTTATAAATAATGAATTATTTGAAAGGAAATACACAGCACATAAAAGGAGATAAGGTCAGGTTTTACTACCCTACTTGTTTCAGAATCCACCCTCTAGAGGTGCATGGGCGTCTTGCAGTCAGGCTGTCCTCTTACCCTGAGGTTCATCCATTAGAGACCCTATTTGGCCAGGAAAAGGCTGACCTCCTGAGAGCCTGGAGTCTAGGGCCTGAGCCAGTGGCCGGGGCCTGAGGCTGTCTGGGTGGCTGTTCTTCAAGCTGACCACCCGGTCCTGTCCACACTTGGGCACTTGATCTAAGCTTGTTCACTGGGATGGCTTCTGTTCTTTTTTTTTTTTTTAATTTTATCTGGGATGGCTTCTGACTGAGCTGTTGTTAACGATGTAGAGAGTGTCTTTGCTGGAAACGTCAACATCTCACTTCTCATAATGTACTTGGTGTGTCTGGGGGTCAAAAAGTCACTCTATGGAAAAGCAACAGCTGGAAACGGTTCAAGTTCCCAGGCCTTGTCACAGCTGAGAGATGTGACCTGAAGGTCACCCTGGAGCCTATGATCGCGGGTCACCTGCCCTGGTCACTGAGACCCACGTGGCCCCCACGGGGCTCAGAGCTGCCTCCATATCCATCCCTGGGTGGCTGTAGCAGGGGACCCTGGACAGCGGGGACAGCATGGCTGAGCTCAGCCAGGGTCAGACCTGGCGACGGGTTGACACTTGGCCGCTGCTCAAGGCCCAGACATCTTGGCAGGAGTTCTGTGGGCTTTCCCAAAGCCAAGGTCACCATCGGCTGGGCCGGGAGCCACTGTCATCTCTGGACCTTCACCCTCTGCCAAGTCTCTCCCCTGGGACCAGAGACCCAGGCTTGGCCAGGCGTGGACGGTCCCCACCTTCCCCCTCCCATCCCCGGGATCCCAGGGCTGTGGTCCCTGGCATCCAGATGAGGATCTTCAGAGGAGCAGAACCCTGATTCTATGACCAGGGTGGCAGAGCTGTCAGGCAGCAGCCCCCAGGGGTCCCTGAGCCGTCGACCGCCAGCTCCTGTGGCCAAAACACCACTTTGCAAAACAGATGAACTGAACACGAGCTGCTCGAGCAGCTCAGACCCACAGGGACCCCTGGGCCTTCCACCCGCAGCCATGACAGACCCCGCGGACCCCCTTCCCATCAGCCCCCTCAGGCCCTGGAGGAGGTGCCGTGGGGGACCTGACCTCAGACCCCCACACTCCCTCACCTCAGGCTGGACCCACCCCCATGTTAGAGTCACCTCCAGTTCCTCTGACGATGGCCCACCGAACACTGCCTGAAGGCACGGTTTTGGGGGTGGGGAGGGTCTTTTCTTCAGGGACAGTGATGGAGCACAGCGTGACCCCGAGTGTTAGAACCTCACATAAAAGGAAGAGACTCCACAGACTCATCCCCCAGGGGGCCACTGCCTCCCCCACAGGTCACAGAGACACAAAACTGGTCCTGGGACCACCGGGTGCTGGCGGGAGGTGGGTCTGTCAGAAACTTGCCTTTCGATAAACGTTCCCCCAAATCGGAACGTGAGGAGCTGCGCCTCGCTTCGTCACCTGACTTCTCAGCACCCTCACCACGCCCCCGTCCGCGTTCCGTCCCACAGGCGGCACGCACGTCGGTGCCCCCGGTCGCCACAGCACCCGCGCCCAGCCCTCCTCACCGCCCCACGTCTCAGCTCCCCTCAGCCTCTCGAGCCCCTTCCCCGGGTCTGGCCTCATCCTCCTCCTCCACGTGTGCACACCCACCTGTTCCCCACCCAAATCAAGCCGGATCTTCGCCTCCACACGTCCCCTCGGGAGGCCTTTCCTGCACCCGAGGCTTCCAAATGTGCTGTCCATCTGTCCGTCTCCCCCTGCAGCTCCCACGGTTCCCCCATAACTGGGGTCGCAGTACTGCTCAGAAGTCCCGGGGGCAGTGGGGCAGCTGGAGATGCCCAGGCTGCCCGTGGCCTCCTCCCGTCACTGAGCGAGCGGCTTATCCAGACACCGCCGTGATCGCACACGCACCCGCTGAGCCTCCTGCGGCTTCTCGCTCCCATTTGCCACCAGACTGGTCCAGGGAAGCACCGTCCATGTGATGAGGGGCCCCATGGGTTGCCCCTCTCCCCTGAGTCATCCCAGGGGACAACTCCCAGTGTGGACGACTCACCACACTGCTTGGTCCCCAGTGGGATAGCAAGAGGCAACAGAGGATGGACTCCCTAGGGTTACGTCCTGCATGACCCGGGCGGCTCCACCGACCATGGTGGGACCTGCCTTCAACAGCCTCCTGCTCTGCGAGAGCCCCGACTGCATCTCGGCCTGAGAAGGCCTGACACAGAGCTCCGCTCGTCCTGCTGGGGTCCATCCACTGCACCCTGGCAGGAGCCCTGCTAGCTCTTTAAAAAAGGGAGAGAGATTGATTTATAGAAAACCTTTTTACAATTTATTTCCTGTTATGAACCTTTGAAGTATAAAAATGAGGCTCTAGCTAAATGCAGGGTTCAGTGGTGAAAATCTGACCATGTGAACAAATAAATTAATATTTACAGTCTTTGGCAAAACAAAAGAAGTTTCATCCATCTGTACCAAAAGTCTGTTTTTTTTAAAAAAAAAACATAAATAATTTACAAAAAAAATATGGTACATTCTAAATATTCACATCATCATCCCGTACCACCGAACACACCAACACGGAAACCTGCACTCTCTTCACCACGGGGACGTTTAATGACACCTCCCAACACTCCATTGTCTTGGGAGGACAGCTCCCCTGAAAAACGTAAGAAGTGCAGCACAGCAAGAAGGCAGTTAACCTCAGAGAAGCAACAAACGTAAGTTTATCAGACGCACGAGCAAGGGAGACAGGTCGCGCGGCCTCTCTCTCCGTGACGGAGGCGTTAGCCCGCTGTCAACCGGAAGGGAGGCCGTCTGCCACATCAGGCCAACGAGACAAGTCTTCTTCCTGAGCCCCTACGTGGAGTGAGAGTAACTAATATTTCCTGCAGAAACGTCATGCAACTTAAAGCGAAAAACAAATCAAGCCTGTGCATACTGCTATATGACTAAGGAGTGTGTCTGCTGAAACAGCACTGGTTTATCCTTGGCATTCAAAGTCTAACGTCCTACGTACAGCAGATAGAAAATAGTGAAAAAAATATATATGTATGGAATTAAAGTCACTGGCAACAGTATATATTAAGGTTCCATTATAAACTCTTCATTATTATTTGTTTATTCTATCACATTTTGCAGCATGCTTGATCATGGCAATCTAACATTATAAAGCCTTGTATTTTGACAGAAGGTATTTTGCTATAACTGGATCTTTATATTATATGCTAGTTATATGTTTACTTCTAGAAGTTATACTACATATGCACTACTTGGCATATTTAAATAAGTTACTGGTGAACAGCACTGCATTCTATACTCACTTAATAAATATTAACACAACATTTATAACTGGAACCTTAATGGAATGTGTTACCAAGTTAGGTAAAAGCAACTTGCCCACAGTGTCAAAGCCTCGATGAGGGACGCATTTGCCGACCGCTTCTCCACTGGTCTTCTACAGCAGCAGAGATGGGAAGGAACCCCAGCAAGGATTCTGGGGACCACGCCTCGGAACCAAGGGACAACTGGCCTGAGTTCTCCCAGGCCCACCACGGCTGGAGGGGCCACTGTAGCAATGGCAGGACCTGCTAAACCATCAGGTCAACAGGGCTTTGCCAGGCCCAAGTCTAGACCCACAGCAGAGCCATCTCACGAGGATTTTCCTTCTGTGATGAGACCACATCTCTGAGGGACTCCACTGTGGGACAAGAGAGTCGGGGAGGGGTATTCACTTATTCCCATGGGTATTTCTGATGTTCCAGTTAGTTACCCGACATCCCACATATGTGACTGCTGTCTCCTGACCTCTTTCTGATGATGGAATTACTTCAAACTTGAGTTGACCCTTCTTTATAATTTACCTAACAATGTTTGGGTGCTCTCACACCCAACTCGAAGCACTGCAAGTAGTGTGGCAATATTTTTCCTGCTTAATTTATGATAATGGCTTATACACAATATTCCCTTCAACTCCATATACACATAAATACAAAAAGTACTTACATTTCATATGTAAACGTCATTCTTTTTAAATACACAAGAAAAGAAAAACAAAGCAATATCATGCTCAATTTTCACTCCACATAAAGTCTCATGGATCATCAAACTGCTTTTCCTGTAGTGGGTTGGATGTTCATCTTTCAGTTCCATTATTATTTATCCTCTGAAGGCACATGGGTTTGGGTTGAGGACAGCAGGTGAAGAACCATTCAAGGTTAGGGTCAAGGACAGGAGGTCTGCTAGAGAGAGTAGCTGGAAGCACTGGGATGGACTGAGGTGTCTGGGTAACAGCATCTACAGTACTTTGCTGGAAACACAGCAAATCTTGCTTAGACATCTGCAAAACATAGTGAAAGAATTTGGGAGACTGGAACATGAGTTTTGTTTTGCTTTATTTGTTTAACTATAACCTAAAATATCATTATTTCTATATTTTTAAAAGACATCCACAATATGCATGGATGCTTGAATGAATGGATGGAAAGATGGATGGATGGGGATGGATGGATGGATGGGGATGGGTGGATGGATGGATGGACAGACGCATAGATGCAATGATGGGTGGATGGATGGATGGATGATAGAAGATGGATAGACGGATGGATGGGTAGATAGATGGATGGGGATGGATGGATAGATGGATGGATGGATGGGGATGAATGGATGGATGGGTGTATGGGTGGATGGGTGGATGGTGATGGATGGATAGACGGATGGATGGATGGGGATGAATGAATGGATGGGTGTATGGGTGGATGGGTGGATGGTGATGGATGGATGGATGGGGGTGGATGGATGGATGGGTGTATGGATGGATGGGTGTATGGATGGATGGATGGATGGATAGAAGCATAGATGCAATGATGGGTAGATGGATGGATGGATGGACATATGGAAAGAAATGTGAAATGTCTCAACTGAAACCTAACGTAAGGAAGAGAACACTCCATCAGAATCAAGAAGACATATCAACAGTCTTGCTGTGTGATTTTTGACAAGCATCTCTGAATCTTACCTCAACCATAAAAGACACTTTCCTATCTACAGGAAAGCACAGGTTTAGACCACATAGAAGCCAAGCTCCCATCCTGCTCTATCATACTTTGAGTTGAACACACGCCTAGAGAGACAGCCAGAGAGACCCTCCCAGCACCTCCTCCCTCCTCCTCCCTCCCTCCCGTCTCTGCCTCTTCCTTCCTTTCTATCAGGGGCTGCAATCTAAAGTGCCAGAGGGACCCAGAAGATGTGCACAATGCAGGAAGCTATGGGGTAGAGTACAGCGGGCAGGTAAAGCCTGTGAATAACACAAGTGTTTGTCCTACTGAAAACATTCACACAGAATTCAAAACAAACACACTGACAAAGTCCATTCGAGCTGACCAAACCAAACATCTGCTGGGCGGGCCAGCAGTTTATTTCCCTGATGTGCAGCTTTTGAAAAATGAAAAGCAAAATGTGCCTTCCTTCCCCGTTCCCTGAGACACACACGGCCCCAGGGATCCCTGTTCTCACACTCACCTCGGCATTCATATTTGAGGTCCGAGAAGTAGACCATCTCTTGAGAGAAGACAAACAGACCCAGCCGCCCACCGGCGTAGGTTTGGTCATAGATGGGTCCTGAGTCCGCCATGACTTGTTTTCCTTCATGTACTAAGACTCTGAAAACAAAAGAAGGAGACGGGAAGAGAAGGCTAAGAGTGTGAAACAGTCACCAGAAGGCAGGAGGTCCGCTTTCTCCTCACAAGGCTCGCAAGAGCAACAGCAGCACCCAGGCGACCTTCCTCCCCATGACTCACTGACAATCACCCGCCCAGCTTCCAGGCTGCCTCTGCCCTTAAGAGCCAGGAACACTGCAGTGGAGTCAGGAGGCCCTTCCCTCAGCCTAACCCTGATCTCAACTCCGGCCCTACCCTGACCTTAGCTCTAACCCTAACCATGACCCTGACCCTAACTTGACCTTAACGCTAACCCTAACCCTGACTCTACACCGGCCCTGACCCTAACTCTAACCCCCGCCCTGGCAGCAGGCTCCTGGCCTTCACACTGCACTAAAGCCTTGTGCTCACCTGTTTCCTCGAGAACCGTGAGCTGACCGACATGTAAGCACCGGCCCCACCCCTCATGCACAGAGGCACTAAATTTCCATGGCAGGGGAGGCGCTCACGAGTGGTGAGAGAGGGACTCTCCCTAGAAACAGTCCCTGCAGCCAGCCAGCACCGCCCCTTCTCAGGCCTGTCTGTTGTCATCAAGGGCACACACTCTCCCGGTGGAGCGTCAGACCGGCCTGTACGCTAAGTCTAACTCTGCAAAAAGTTTCAACTTAAGTCACTGTGCTTTAATCAGAACTGATTAAAAATGCTGTCATGCTGAGAGAACGAAATTCTGTTGGACTGCTTTGTCCAAGTTTTGTTTGAGATGAGTCTTGGACTCAGCAAAAATATCCTTGTTTTCCCAACGCGGGACCAAGACCTTTGGAGCCCTTTTCTCCCAATGGCGCAGACCTATGCTTCATGTGCAAGAGGTTCACCAGTCGTGTCTATAAAAGCACCAGGCATAGCATCTTTAATAAGCAAGATTATTGAAATTGTCTGAGCTTCCCTGATGGCTCAGATGGTAAAGAGTCTGCCTGCAATACAGGAGACCTGGGTTCAGTTCCCAAATCAGAAATAAGCAGGAACCTGTGCAAGGGAATCACGCACTAATCCACAAAGATGCAGCACTTCAGCTGCACTTGCCCTCCCATG